GGTTAGTTGTGGGCAGACCCTGGTGAATTGCTGCCTGCTCCTCCCTTCAGGTATGTGAAGACCTACCTGCTGCCTGACAAGTCCCGGCAAGGAAAACGCAAGACAACCATCAAACGCAACACCATCAACCCCCTGTACAACGAGCTGCTGAAGGTGAGTGGGCATGGGTTGGGGCACGGCCCGTTCCCCACTGCTGGGCTGGGCTGGGCTCCAAACCCTGAGGCAGGAGCTCTGCAGAGGACCCATTCCAGACACTGCACCCTGAAAGCTGGAAAATCCCGGTTTCCAGGCTGGGTGACTGGAGCTCTGGGTTTGCTGAGGTCTCACACTGACCAGCTGACGCTTGGTGCGTTGGCAGAGCTTTGCTTGTGATGGGGTGGTGAGATGTCATGAGTCCTGGCTCTGCACAGGCTCTGAGGACCACTTGCCTGGAGAGCACAGGCTCCTGCACCACTGCCCTGGGACTTTGAGGTTTCAGCAGGCTTGGAAAGGAAGAAAAATAGCCTCCTGTGTGCATCCATTGCTTCTCAAACCTGTCTCCTCTCCTGCTGGAGAGCTGTGGCTGATAGTGTATGGCAAGCCATACACCCTGTCTGGTGCTGCCTGCTCACTGGTGGTTTTCCTGTCTCTCTTCCTAGTACGAGATTAACAAGTCCCTCCTGCTTGCAAGGACGTTGCAGTTCTCGGTCTGGCACCACGATCGCTTTGGCCGAAACACGTTTCTGGGAGAGGTGGAGGTCCCACTGGATGCCTGGAACTTCGAGAGCCATCTGGAGGAGTTTCTGCCCCTGCACAGCAAGGTGCTGGCCCTGCCACCCCAGCCCTGTTGTCTGCAGCCACCTCATTTGCCTGTCCTGTCCTGGGGGTGGCCCTCAGTGGGAGCAGGGTGCAGAGATCTCAGATAAGAGCTGCTGGAAGGCTCACCCCAAATCAAATCTTGGGGTAACACAGACCCCAGAGCAGACAGCAGTAGTAGTTAAAAAGGGCAGATCTTCTGCCTTAAGCTGAGCTTTCCTCATCCTCCTCAGCTTGTCCCCTATGGGATGCAGTGGGATGTTTCTGTCCCATGAGCTCTTTTCATTTTGCTTTCTTGAGTGCTTCAGGAGTGCAGCTCTTCCCAGCTCCCTGTCCTGACCGGCAGGAACTGGAGCCAACTTCAGGGAAACAAATGGAGGAAATTGTCTGGGACATCCTACTGCAGAGCTCTGCAGTGAGGGCCTTTGTGTAGCTCAATGGCAACAGCAGATGCTGCTGCTGGACATGAGTCTGGTTCTCTTGACTACCTTATACTGTGGGCTCAGCCCTCAGCATTGCTGGGGCTCCAGCAGCTTGTGGAAACCCCTAAGTAGGGTTTCCTAAGGGAGGTGTTTGAGCCAAAGTGGGATCCCAGGGGGATCCCAAAGGAGCTGGTCTGAGTGTGTCCTGGTGATGCTGAGGGTGTGTGGGCATTTGTGTTGGCCAAACCACCTCTAGGATAAGCCAAGCCCTTTGGCTCAGGAAGGGATGTGCTGCCTGCAGGGTGGGCCATTACCACATCTGCTCTGGTGTCTCCAGCAGTGTTTGATAATCTTTGCCTCTTTGCAGATTGGGGCTGATGCTGCTGGTCTCCCCCAGTACAAGGGAGAGCTGGTTGTCTCCATGAAGTATATCCCATCTTCCAAGCACCCTGGGGCTGGGAATGGCAGGAAGGGTGAGTGCTGGAGCTGCAGGATCTCTGTGCAGCCTGGAGGACCTGCCTGTGGCCAGGCAGCTGGGTCTGGGTGGATTTCTGAGTCGGTGCCACTGCAGCCTTCTCCTCTGCGATGCCACAAGGCTGCTGTGGATTGGGGAAGACCTGGCTGCCCTCAGGCTGGCTGAGTTGTCCCAGTGCTTTCCTGTGGCTTGACCAGGTTGGACTGTCAGGCCCCACGTGGAGCACTTGTCTGCTGTAGACTCAGCAGGCAGGGACAGTATGGGAGGAGGCAGGAGGAGATACCAGCTGGGCATCTGTACCTGCC